TCAAGAAGGCCCATTCTAGCCGAGACAGTGATCATGAGCTTTTGAAACTCACAACGTACTTGCTCGCGGAACTTGATGACTTGAGCAACCTTGATCATAACAACTGGCAGTCATTTTCCGAGGACAATGTCAAAGGGCGCCGTCGGCATCAATGATCTTTAAAGGTGTCATTTTTCTATCATTCTTGCAATTTTATTGTGTTGTTTCTTTGTTGATTACCAATATTCTCCATGTTTGCAAGCAATATAATGTCCCATGTAATACCTTCTTTCACTTCCAGGATTGCCGATATTCGCACCATCTCGGGATGAACTGAGCTAACCTGAAGCCTGTGACGGGAATTCATCTGCAACCGAGACTCATCATTTCCATATCTGTGTGAATTTCTTCTTAAACTTTAGCACAAGTAGTTTTGTGCTTCCAGGGCACTGTTGGGGTTTACTATATAAACCTATACATCTGCTATAAGCAGCGATAAAGACGTTAGCATATCCTTATACCTCAGGGCACTGTAGAGGTATGTCTTTTTTGTATACATGCACTGTTTTTTTGTGTATAATACACGTGTACTATACGCGTAACAAAACATGTATTACAAAATAAAATTACGACTCTGGGTCTGGATTTTCTTCCCTCCTATCGCCTCCTTTCTTTCACCACCATTCAAAACATTTCCAAGCTAATTCAATGAAGATTAGGCCACATCACCAACCACCATTCTTACACTTCTTTAAACCCAAAACCCTAACAATGTCACTGCAAGTCATTTCATAGTTCAACACTTGTTTTCTTAGCAGATAAGGGTGAGGTTGTATGGATGCAACACTTGTTTTCTTTTACAAATTTCACTGCAAATCATTACATAGTTCAACCCAAAACTCTAACAATATCGTTTGAGATAAAACAATTTTTGCCAAAAGTTCTCTGAAATTAACATAATTCCTCATTTTGTTTCATGAGATTTAAAACTGATAGAAGTGGTCATTGAGATTTAAAACTGATGGTTTTTTCAATTTAATAGAAATATTTCACAGAATGACCAAAATGTAGTTAGGGAAAGACAAATAGATACTAGTATTTCTTTTTCCTAATTGTTTTATATTAGAAAAAAAAATAGTAATTAAAATGAGTAAACCCAAACGGAAGGCCAAATGGCCCGGATGTCATTACGCGTGAGCTTTGAATGTTTACACTCTCAGAAACCAACTCACACAGTCTTAGACGCATCTTAATCTTAATTAGTACTAATTAACCTCCTCCTCCTTTTAATTGCACCCAGATTTGGGAAAACACTAATTCCTCCACACCTCTCACTACATTAATTGCAATTAATTCTTCATTCCTCTCTTTTTTTTCTTTCCATAAAAATGATTTTTTTCTTCCTTTTTTTCTTGTTTTTGAAATAATTATTGTGTTCTTCGTTTTTGTTTTCGAGTCTCTCACAACTTTAGAGAGAAAGAGACAGTCATATATACTCGTTTTCGAGTCTTTGATCTACACATAGTTTTTGTTTGTGACAAACAATAGAATAATTACATTACGTTTTTCTGTTTTGAATTATGTATATATGTCGTCAATAGTGCAATTTGAACAGTTTGATTAGAAGAATTATATTTATATTCCTAATGTTTGGCCGGGGTTAATTAATTTGGAGAGATCGATTAACCCCCTCTTTCTGGAGATTGGTGTTCAAAGATCATCAAGTGCTATGAAGAAGCTCTTGATTTTCACCTTCTCTCTCATCACCTCTTTCTCATTGGCATGTAAGTATACATACCTCTCTCTCTCTCTCTCTCTCTCTCTCTCTCTCTAAAAGATTTTATTTAGTTAATTTCTTGAGATTTTTGGGGGAAAAAATTGCAGCTGGGTTCGATCCATTAGATCCATATGCCAACATAACCGTCACTTGGGATTTTTTGCAGCAAAGTGAAAGCACATCTGACGTAAGTCGCTTTTTCTTAGTTTTGCATAAACTTTACATTCTTATTGTATTGCCAGAAAATCTTTTTTTCATAATACATTCCGACTCGAATATCTAAGTTGATACTAGAATCGAAGCATGCTGACCGACACCTAAAGAGTAACGAAACCAGCACCATTCAATTAGGTATTCATATAGATTTTTGGGTTGGAATGTGTCATTTCACTTTTTTTTTTCAGTAGTGTCTTTTGGCCTATCGTGGCTTGCAATGCGTTTAAAAAGTGACCACTCATCTAACTTGTAAATGGCTGCGAGAGATGCACCAAATTTAGATGCATGGGCAAGGCACGTGGGATGGCGTTTTGCATTCCAGAATGTTTGCTTTGTTTGGAAATGGATCATCTTTGGATCCATTTTGCGGGGATCATAGAGATCTCTATATTCTAGTCGTTTATCGTATATCGTACGATCAATTTTTGTCAGATACTATTTGTGTTTAATTTTAAATAAAAAAATCAAATAATTTCTGACCGCACGATATAAATGATTAAGATGTGGGAATCCTTATGATCCCTATAAAATGGATCTCTATGGGATCCAATTCCGTTTTGTTTGAGGTTGAACTTAGATTCGGTCAAAAAAAAAAAAACAAAACAAAAAACAAAAGGATTTGGTGGGTGAGGTTCACGGTGAGCTCATCAGGATTGCTTCAGAGATTCAATCAGCTTACATTGGGGCAATTTAGACATTGCATGTGATGGGACACAAAAAGCATCACAATATTCCTTTTTATTTGTCAGACTTCTGGGTCCAGTACTAGGTTTGTCGCCTAAGTTACCGAAGTAGCCCTTAAGGGCCCAGGTATTTTCGACCTAATCCCTCTAAAGTTTTTAAAGAATTTGATATTGCGATTGTGAGCATCGGTTAAAGGCAAAAGGGTTATCGGAAGTTTCGGAAGACTTAAAAATAGATTTTAAGAAAAGATATGAAGTATTTAGAGCTAATGGAATATCTGGTGTAAAACAAAACATAATAATAGTCTAGAATTTATATAGACGACCTCATTTAATAGAATAAGACTTGTTGTGGTTGTGTTGAACTTACATGATTTTTACTACACGATTTGATTTCAGATAAAAGTATCGATATACAACTTCCAGCAATTTCGGCATGTGGATCGCCCCGGTTGGAAGCTGGGTTGGATATGGAAAGGTGATGAAGTGATATGGAACATGTGGGGAGCTGAGGCCATTTATCAAGGAAACTGCTCTCGGTTCAAAGGCGCACCAGAGCGTCCTCATTGCTGTGAAAAGGAGCCGGTGATCATCGATCTCCTACCCGGAACCCCTTTTAATAAACAGTTCTCCAATTGCTGCAAGGGAGGAGAGCTCTCTTCCATGATCCAAGACTCTTCCAAGTTTCTATCTGCCTTTCGGATGAATGTTGGAGCATTTTCCAACAACAGTACAAACATAAATATGCCCGACAATTTCACCCTTGGACTCCCTGGTTACACCTGCGGCCCGCCAGTCCAAGTCCAACCGACTAAGACTAGCCAAGATGGCCGGCGATGGACTGAAACTCTCGGTGAGAACTCAAAAACTTCACTAAGCACGTGCATCTTATATAACTAATTTTTACATAGGCAAAAACTAGACAAAAGTGCTTCTTACAGAATCACTTTGAACGCTCCTGGAGAAGCATGCATTTTCAGGTCAATGATAGATTAGATGCACTTACCTAGAGTTGTTGGTCCAGTGGTTAGGTCCTTGGTTTGCTCCCAAGTGGTCTAGAGTTTGACTCTCTCCCACTGTACCCACCTAGCAAATGCTAGAGTTTCTCGCTCCCCAAATGTTGTGAGGTCAGGCGGGGGGCTTAGTGATTAGTTGGATCAAAAACTCGGATACACTAGTTTAAAAAAAAATAAAAAATAAAAAAGTTAGAAGCACTTTGCTTTTAGTGAAAGGTTTTAGGGTTTAGTGTGGTAAACAATGTTTAGTTTTCTATGTAACATGTTTATTGTGGTTTTCTTGTAGAGACATGGAATGTGACTTGTATGTACTCCCAGTTCAGAGCATCACCTTCTCCTAAGTGCTGTGTTTCCCTGTCTTCATTCTACAATAGCACCATTGTTAAGTGCCCCCGGTGCAGCTGCGGCTGCCAAGGACTTCCGGGAGCAAAATGCGTGAAGTAAGATCTCTTGGTTATCGATTTTCTAATGGAAAATTTCTGAAATTAGCATCACATTTTGATGATTGAAGCAACTTATCTGCAAGTTTTACAATGAACATAACCAATATTTGCACAAATTTTATGGGACATGTTATGCTCGAGTCATTGAAGTTTTTATTTATATTTGTTGGCAGTTGCTGCTTTTAAGAACCAATTCTTGTGATACTAAATCTGCAGGCCAGGTGATGAGTTGCAACTTCCTGGTGATCGCGAAACTGAAGAACCATCACCTTTGGTGACTTGTACACGACATATGTGCCCGATAGGAATACATTGGCATGTTAAGGAAAGTTACAAGGAGTACTGGAGGGTTAAGATCACAATCACCAATTATAATTTTGTTAAAAACTATTCTGACTGGACCTTAGTCGTTCAACACCCGAATTTGCAAAGTCTAACGCAGTTGTTCAGCTTCAACTACCACCCTCTCGGTCAGTATGGAAATATAAGTAAGTTAAACGAACCAAAAGCCCGATATTTTCTTCTTATTCACGTAGAAAATTATTTGCAAGTAACATTAAGCTGCATTGCATGTATATTGCTTTCCGCAGATGATACCGGAATGTTTTGGGGGATCAAATATTACAACGACATGTTACTCAGTACGGGAAAGAATGGGAACGTGCAAACTGAGATGGTACTGCATAAAGATGAAGGGGTTTTCACTTTCAGAGAGGGATGGACTTTTCCCAGGAGAATTTCATTCAATGGGGATGAATGTGTGATGCCCTCTCCGGACGAGTACCCTAGACTTCCCAATAGGGCTCATAGGGCAGCAGCATCAAGGCCATCCATCGTAGTTTTCGCCTCGTTGTTGATCCTTGCAGCTTTGTGATGACAAAAAGTCTGAAGGAAGAAATATCGATGATTTTTTTATTCATGGACTGCATTTGTAAACTTACATTAATTTAAACTCAATATTATTTGATTGGACAAAAGCATTCAGCCTTATTCTTTTGACATGTAGCAAACTACCTCTCTCAACAACAATATTCCACAATTACACCATATAGTCTACGAACAATACTATTCTGGAACTGAGAAAAGCGAAAGCTCCATGGCATGTTGAGAAGCAACGAACCAAGAACACCCCAAAAACCGAACAGAAAGCCTAGTCCCAAGCTCAAATAGAACCAACTGTCTTCGAGTAAATGGCCACCCATGTGGTTTTGAACAACTACTGGCTGCATTGTCCGATTTTCCTTGCAGCTCACGTTGAGTGGCAATCCGCAAAGTTCATTGCCAATATAGCTGTACTGATCAAAGCTTCCGAGCTGTGTGCATTGGGGAATCTGTCCGGTCAAATTGTTATAAGACAAATTCAAGGTACCAAGAAATGTCAACCTCGACATGCTTGGAGAAATTTCACCAGAAAGTTTGTTCATGGAAAGATCAAGAGACTCTAACATTACCATATCACCAATCATTGAAGGGATTTTTCCAGTCAATAGATTTTTCGATATGTTCAATGATTGCAAGCTGATAAGGCTGGTCAATTCCTTGGGAATCTCTCCAGATATCATGTTGTGTGAAAGGTCCAAGTTAGCTACCAAGCTAAGCGATTTGCTATATTTGTCTGTTCTGCCTTTTCTCACCAAGATTGCTTCCTCCATGTACTGCTCAGGCGAACCGTACATATAACTGAAGAATGAAATGGGACCTCCTGAGTTTGACAAGGTGGCCATGGCACCGAAATTGTTGAAACATTTTGGGATTGTTCCGGAGAGATTATTATGAGCAAGGTCCAAGATTTGGAGATTGACAAGACTGCAGATTTCGTTAGGAATGTCACTCTGAAGCTTATTGGAACGAAGGATGAGAACGATCAAATTTGAAAGACTTTCTCCTATCCACATCGGTATGCTTCCAACAAACTTATTTTCGCCAAGGTCAGCAACTAACAGGTTCTGACAATTCTGTAGGGACATGGGCAACTCTCCAAACAGGTGATTATTGCGCAAGTGCAGCGATTCGAGGAAAAGTAAGTATCCTATGGAGCTTGGAATGTTCCCTGTCAAATTGTTGTTCTCTAAATTTAGAACAATCAACTTTTTCCAGTTTTGCCAACAATCAGGAATTGGTCCATCAAGAAAGTTGTTCTCAAGATAAAGAATTCTGAGTTGTTTTGGCCCATCTATGCTATCACAAAAGAAGTGAAAGATGGATCCAGAAAATGTTGAATTGGAGAGATCTAGTACATCAACGGTGGAGGAGACGAGAGGTAACGGACCATTGAACTGGTTTGAACTTAGGTCAATTATGTCTAAAGGAGCACCAACTATATTTGGAACTTCCCCATACAATTGATTGTGAGAGAGATCGACAAATCTTAGTTGGGAAGAAAAGTTCCAAAACCAGGTTGGGATGGTACCTGAAATACTAGTGTTGACCATGCTTAGATACTGCAATTGTGTTTGTCTCTGAAACCACAAAGGTAACTCTGGCCCTAGATACCAAGAATCTAAGAACAACACTCGGAGTTGAAATGGTGGATGCCAATCTCTACTGGTTTTCAGAGTCAATGAATTATTTTTTGCATACAGTTTCACCAATTTTGTAAGATTGGTAAAATGAACTTCAGAGGTGACACCCTTGAACAAATTATTATGAATGCGTAATTCTTCTAAGCATGACAGATTTCCTAAGGATATTGGAATGGAACCTGATATTGAATTGCTTGAAAGATCAAGGAAACGTAATTTTTCAAAATTTCCTAGCTCATCTGTTAAAAGACCAGAAAGATTATTATTGGATAAGCTCAAAGACTCTAGCTGACTTGAATTGCACCTAGACAAACTTTCAAAGATTTCGGATACCCTCCCATTGACACGGTTCCTCGACAGATCAAAAACCGTCAACTTGCAAAGATTTCCCATTGAGGTTGGGAGTTCCCCTTCAAGTTGATTATGAAATAAGTCAAGATTGACAATGTCTGTTAAGTTTGCAATGGAGCTTGAGATTTGGCCATGCAAGTGATTGTAGGGAAGAAATAGTGACTCCAGATGGCTAAGGCTGTACAACCATTTTGGTATGGTAGAATTGATGGAATTCCCCTCGAGATTAAGAACTTTAAGAACAGAAGCATTTGCAATTCCAAATGGTATTTGATATAGTCCGCAATCGGACATATTCAAGTACTCTAGCAAAGAGGGGAAAGTGTTTGTCACCTGGAACAAATCGGATGCTTCTCTGAGATCTACACCACTCATGTCCAGGTGCTGCAGCTGAGGAAGACCAGAAATCCATTGCAGGCTCTTAACCTCAAAATAGTTACCATGGACGTCGAGAAAGCGCAGATTAGAAAGATTCCCCAGCTGATGAGGAATTATTCCCTGAAAATCTGATTGTGAGAGGTCAAGATGTCTTAAACTTGTAAGAGAACCGAAGAAGTTGGGAATCTGCCGTCCTTCAAAATCATTGCTGCTTAGGTCCAAGTAAGTGAGATGGCTTAAATTGAGCAGAGAAGGATTTAACTTACCACCCAAATAGTAATTACCAAGGTGGAGTGCGCGGACATGGCCGGTTAAGTTGCTGCAGACAACTCCAGGCCAAAAGCAGCAATCCCCTTCGCCAATCCAGGATGAAAGCCTGTTCGAAGAATTAACAAGTCCTTGCTTGAACATCAGAAGGGCCTGCCTCTCATTTTCTTTGCAAGGAACCTGAAGTCCCACATTTGCATTGCCCAAACTAATGGGAGTGGCTGCAATGCTCAGGAAACTCACAAGTAAAACAAGTCTCAAAGGCCTATCCATGAGTGATGAGGTTGTTTGAGCAATAAGTTATGTACATTACTATAAATATACTGAAGTGGTAACGTATGATCCAAGTTCGGATTTGAATTTTTGAAACTTCTAAGAAGATTAGAAAATATTTCAATTCATTGACTGCGAACCTGTTGAAATGTATTAGGGAAATGTTAAGGAGATTCCCTCAAATAAGACTTTTGATGAATTATTTGCCCTTATAGTTTAAGGTTAATTTTCATATCAATATTATAAGTTATAAGGTGACAGAAAATTCATAATCATATTTGAATCTCCTTAACATTTCTCTCGTGTAATTTTAGCTAGTTGACTAATAGGTTGTGGTCATGATAAGCCATCATTATAGTTGTATCCATCATTAGCCATCCTTGGTCATCATTTTTTTTGTTATTTTGTTAGATTAGGTGCTCGATTAGTTATCGATATGATTTGAATTCGCGCCGTTATGTAACAGTTCAACACATTTTCACCGATGAGATAAAAGGTCACTTGCACCATTGGTTATCATTATAGCTAGTTGTTTTTGTTAGACTGGTACCTACCACCGTTTTGTAGTCTTCAAATTTTTTGTTTTTTTGTCAAACAATAAATTTTGTTAGACTAGCAACTAATAGAGTTCGAACCCACACTATTATACAATGACTCAACATCTTTCCATCATTGTGATAAAGAGTCACAAGCGTCTTGTCCAGATCCTCTATATGGGAATTCAGGGTATTAATCAATTTTGTCTGTTTGTCATACATCGTATAGTTAGAAATCATTTTAAATTTTAAATTTAAAATTGAATATAAATAGTATTTAACATTATATGGTTATAAATCATTTTAAATTTTAAATTTAAAATTGAATATAAATAGTATTTAATGAAATTAATCGCAAAATATACGATAAACGAACAAAATTGATTAATTTTATTGATCCTTACAAAAAGGATCAGGAGAGAGGATCCTTATTCATTTTCAAGAATAATGATGCTATTTGCTCATAGTACTTCCATTCAAAATTTGACACATATTCCATTATTATACAGCTGGACTTAAAAGCTTATTTTAATATAAAAAAATTAAAAGTAAATAAAAATTGAAGAAAGGAAAAACCCCATAACCACTGCACCTCCCTCCCCGATGATTCCCATCCCCCTCCTTAGCCTTATAGCTTCATCCCTGCTACGAGGCTGCCGCCCCGTTTCTTCTCCGCCGGCTTCGAATCCACTTTCCGGCCAACCTCTGCAACCACAAGCTCAGCGGCGCCCGTTTCTTCTCCACGGAGTATCACTCCCCTAGGGATCCGACTGTCACGGTACTCGACGGCGTCAATCGCCGCCGGACGGTACTTTTCTCGGTGTCTACTCTCGGGTATGCCAAGGGAGTCGTCCCCGGCATGGCTTCGATGACCAGGCTCGCCGCGTACAAGGTTTGCTGAAGCGCCGGCTGCTACAACTCCGACGTCCTCGCCGCCCATCGTCATCCCTGAGGCTGCCGCTCCGATCTTCTTTGTTAATTTTGCTTCAGTTTTCATAATTTTTAATTTTAAAATAAAAAAGTAAAAATAGTTTATTTTCAACTGTATAAAATAGGAACACATGTCAGATTTTGAATGTGAGTACCACACGTGACGTGATACTACTGTACCAGACTATAATTTCTCTGTTGTTACTTGTTAGAGTGCTACAACTATAATGATGGCTAATGATGACTACAACTATAATTACATTTGACCTTGAGTCCATTCCACAACTTCTCGGCAAGTACCAAAGGTACGTAGGTCACCAAACCATTGATGGTTAGGCAATGAGGAAATGATGAGATTCTAAAAGTAGAATTTTTTATGAATTCTACGATACTTTAAGTTTTTGACATAATTTTTTTTTCAACGTTATAAAATATTATGCTAAAAATATGCGATGATAGAAAGTTCAAGAAAAGTTTCATTTTGAGAGAATCTCATTAGCATTTCTATAAAGAAATTATACAATTCCAAAAGGTATACGTACGTCACCATCGATGGTAGACAATGTTGACTAAGTTGCAGGCAGGTCGAGTATGGCGGGCAATATTTTGTTTTCTTGTAAAAAGATGAAGAATTGGATGAAGATCTAGTATAGAATATAAGTTGGATGAATGAAGTAGAAGAGTGTGTCGGGTGTGAGTATGATTGTTATATGTCGATAAAGTTTTAGAGAAAATTTTATAGGATGACAATAAGTCTAGCAATGCTTTTATAACACACAATGTTATGGCGATCAAGCATCAACACGTGCAAAAAATGAGTGTAGCAGAGATAAGAATTCTTCATTGGATGTGTGTGGGCACACAAGAAATGACAAGATTATAAGAACAACGATATCTAAGGTAAAGTAGGAGTGGCTACAATTGAAGATAAGATGAGAAAAAAATCAGTTAATGGTTTGGACATGGGAAAAGAAGACCTACAAATACTTTGGTTAGAAAATGCGAGTATGTCACATCCCGGCTCGGGCGGGACCACTTCCCAAGCCCGCTCCACCACCGTAACACGATATTGTCCGCTTTGGGCTTACCATTCCCTCACGGTTTTGTTTTTGGGAACTCACGAGCAACTTCCCAGTGGGTCACCCTGTTGGAAATGTGCCCTAAAACCAATCATATGATGATACTTTATGGACATTTCACATGTTAAACTAATCTAGTTTAATATTAAGGGCAAACATTATTGTTTGAGCTGTCTCATATAAATGTTATATGCTTAAACGATAAGTCCAAGGAATATGTGATTGGAAGAATGCGATCTAAAAAAGTTAGATTCATGAGACCATTCTTTCGTTGACACATCCTAAACGTTCCTGATCATAGGATTGTCAATTGGGCATTGACAGTCCGTTAAGATCAGTACGTGCTATGTCTTCTCTCAGGAAGAGTGACTAGTCTCGAGTCATTGGTGTGTGTGACATCAAGACAAGTACGTAGGTGCTCAATAGAGAATGAGTTCACTGAACACGATCAACGAAGAGTTCTCATATTCATGTCACATGAGAACTCATGGTTGGGATAATGCAAATTAGTCTTTTGACCTGAGGCATCACAGTTGTCTTGTGGTTAGGTCCTTAATCTTTGATTATGTCAAAGTCACTCCATCAGGAGGGTGTCCATGGCATCGTTGGGGTTAAGCCACTTAGCCATGGAGGCAAGTGAATACGCAACAAGGGATCTCTAACCTTCAAACTGTTTGAGGGAGAATACTCTATGATATGATTAAGAATCTTTGGCCAAAGTATGAATGAGATTTAGGAATGTGTTCCAAATCACATTCAAGGTAATCATATAAGCACAAGACTCACATTGGATAGTAGACATGAATAAACTATCAAACCAAACAATGTGGTCAAGAGTATTGTATTAGAGAAAGACCGTATTGCATTTGTAATCCTAAAACTGAATAGGTTCTCCACCTCTTCTGATTAGCTTGGGTAACCATGACATGCTGCTAGGCGTCAACCATGGTTTGTGGAAGCCCTAAAAGTGTATTATCACTAACGGGAGAATTGAAAGTAAGTTTCAATTCACAATCGATTAGAAAGAGTTTTAATCGCCCACTGCCTCGCTAAAAGGAACCTAATGGATCGTTCACCGAGTAAGGTAGAGTTTGAAGAAACAACGGAGATGAGTAAGAATAATTAAATGGTTTAATTGTTTATCTAAGTCTAGGATTAATTAATATGTTAATTAATCAAACGAATAAGTTCGTTAAAGACCTCGGGTTAGTTTTGGGCCGCAAGGCCCAATGAGATTTGAATGCCAAGCCCATTAACTCAAGTTGTATGACAACTTGAATAAACAAAGGGCTTGAAAGCCCAATAAACCCTATAGGCTTGCCATGTTAGAAGAATAGGGCTTTTGGTCCATTAGGTCACTTATTTGAAGGGACTATATAAAGGACTTTATAGCCTAAAATTTACATATGGTAATTTTTGGGGAAAGGATGAGAACACAAGCTCTCCTTTCTCTCTAAAATTTAGGCCACCTTGGAGGGATCATCTAGCAATCAAACTCCTCCAAGGTTACTCATTTCTTCTTCATTATGCCTTGGTGATGAATCATTGGAGGTTCTCAATTTTGGGAACTTGGAGAAACTTTTTCATCCATCCAAATCCATGGATCTAAGATGCAAGGAATGAAGGCCCTCTCTTTGGGTGATTAGCCTTTACTTATGCAAAGAGGAATCTACAAAGGTATTGATTTCTCAACTCACTTTGTTTTGAGTTGGGTCTTGGTTCACCTATCTACTAGGCTTTGAATTTCATGGGTAAATGTTTTGTTTTAAGTGCATACAAGCATGATTCCGCCTTTAATTGTTAATTGCATGCTATTGATGTTGCTTAAATGAACATGTTTTTCACAAATCTTCCTTCACACCCATCATGGGATTGCTTTAGCCTCCTTCTCGCTTAACTTCGGAGTTCCCATGGAACCCGAAGCCAGTGAGATCCCAAAAGGCCTCGTGCTAGGTAGGGATGAGAATATACATTTAAGGATCACTCCCCTAGGTGATGTGGGATGTCACAATCCACCCCCTTAGGGGCCCGACGTCCTCGTCGGCACACCACGATCAGGGTTAGGCTTTGATACCAAATTGTCACATCCCGGCCCGGGCGGGACCACTTCCCGGGCCCGCTCCACCACCGTAGCACGATATTGTCCGCTTTGGGCTTACTATTCCCTCACGGTTATGTTTTTGGGAATTCACGAGCAACTTCCCAGTGGGTCACCCATCATGGGATTGCTCTAGCCCCCTTCTCGCTTAACTTCGGAGTTCCCATGGAACCCGAAGCCAGTGAGCTCCCAAAAAGCCTTGTGCTAGGTAGGGATGGGAATATACATTTAAGGATCACTCCCCTAGGTGATGTGAGATGTCACAGAGTATGAGACAGATACTCAGGGCAAAAGAGATAGAAGAAAATGTAGGAAGATTTGGATAAAGACTTTAAGAAAAGACATAGAGTACTTAGAGCTAACAGACGACTTGACACAAAATTGAGCATAGTGACATTTTATGATTCATACAGTCGACCCCCATTTAGTGAAATAAAGCATTGTTATTGTTGTTGTTGTATTCTCTTTTCATGATATGATAACACATTCTTGACAATTAATTAAAGAATATGTATTTCTTTTCATTTGTAAGTGAGAAATTTTATATTTGAATTTCATGAATGACGAGTTCGATACCAATTTGTTTAGTTACCTCTTAGCATAAATCATTGTAAAATGAGAAAAAAAAAAAGAAAAGAAAAAAAGAGCTTGTACTGTTTGAAGGGGCAACGAATGATCTAAAAATGAAGTCCATTGGATCCCATGCCCAAACTTTGATATGGAGTTCGCTAAAACCCTTTTTTCATCAGCCTTAGCAACGTTCTAAAAAGTATTAAGCGCTCGTCAGGCTGCATGCAAAGGTTTAGTATCTAAACGTCTAGGTGGGCTCTGTCTAGACAATTTTTTTTATTTTAATTAAATTTATTATATAATATAGAAATAAATGTCTACCATACTTAAAATAAAATAAATAAATAAATAATAATTTACATCTCTTCGTAACAGTGATTATGATTCATGGGTCAGTCCCTATACGATAAAAGGAAATTGGTTGACTGTAATGGGCAAAAAAGACCGAAAGAATGGGAAGATTAGAACAACCGTATTGGGGGACGGGGGACGAAGGGACAACAGTGTAGAAAGGAGAGGGGAAAAAAGAAAAGGAAATGGGAAAAGCAGAAAGGAAGAGGAAAAGACCAAAAGAGTGGGGAGAATAGACAACCGTGGAGAGAGAGGGGGGAAGAAGAGACAACCGTGTAGAAGGGGGGTGGGGGGAAGGACGAGACAACCGTGTAGAAAGGACTAAGGAGGGAGGGGAAGAAGAGACAATCGTGTAGAAAGGAGAGGGGAAAAAGGAAAAGGAAATGGGAAAAGGAGAAAGGAAGAGGAAAAGACCGAAAGAGTGGGGAGAATAGACAACCGTGGAGAGAGAGAGGGGGAAGAAGAAACAACCCTGTAGAAGGGGGGTGGGGGGAAGGACGAGACAACCGTGTAGAAAGGGCTAAGAAGGGAGGGGAAGAAGAGATAACCGTGTAGAAAGGAGAGGGGAAAAAGGTAAAAAGGAAATGGGAAAAGGAGAAAGGAAGAGGAAAAGACCGAAAGAGTGGGGAGAATAGACAACCGTGGAGAGAGAGGGGGGAAGAAGAGACAACCATGTAGAAGGGGGTGGGGGGAAGGATGAGACAACCGTGTAGAAAGGACTAAGGAGGGAGGGGAAGAAGAGACAACCGTGTAGAAAGGAGAGGAGAAAAAGGAAAAAAGGAAATAGGAAAAGGAGAAAGGAAGAGGAAAAGACCGAAAGAGTGGGGAGAATAGACAACCGTGAAGAGAGGAGGGGGGAAGAAGAGACAACCGTGTAGAAGGGGGGTGGGAGAAGGAGGAGACAACCGTGTAGAAAGGAGGGAGGGGAAGAAGAGACAACCATGTAGAAAGGAGAGGGAAAAAAAGGAGAAAGCGAAATAGGAAAAGTAGAGGAAAACTGGAAGAAGGAAAACAAAAGGAGATGAGAGGGGAAAAGGAGAAAGGAAGAGGAAAAGTAGAGGAGAGCTTCGGAGGATAGAAGGAAAACAAAAAGCCATCACACCTGAAGGAAGGGAGAGAGAGATTGTGGGGCATGGAGAAAGACTTCATACGTGAAGGAAGGGAGAGGAAGAAGAAAATGTACCAAGAAGAGAAGACACAAGGGAGAGAGCGAACAGACGCAGAGAAAAAGAAAGCAGCCATTCCCTCATAAAAATATTTTTTCCTATTTTCCTTATTGTAATTACAGTTCAATAATGAGAAGTCACCACTGTTACTCGAGGACGTAGGCATATTTTGCCCAACTTCGTAAATATTATGTTTTATTTATATTTTCTTACCATTAATTATATTTTGTATAACTTGTGCAAAATTTGTTTCAATAATTGTATTCGAATACATAAATTGAAAAAAATAAAAAGTAAAATGAAAGTTATTTATTTTCTATATAAGTGAGAGTCACGATATAAACGGACCTAAATGGGCACCTAAACACTTTTTCTTAATTTTTAAACGTGTAAAAATTAATTGTGTTGATAGCTAGCCGCTTAGCATCTAAACAACATCTAGGCGCCCTATGCGAAGATTTTCAAAACAATGCCCACAACTAAGAGGAATTTTTCGAGTACATGAAACTTCTGCTGACTTGGAGTTTCACCACCACAGGTCTAGACATCTTTACACAATCAGTCTGGCCCACAATCAAAGAATTAAAAATATTAATACTTTAATATTTCACCGGCGCCGGTCTCTCTTCCCTCTTCCCGGCCGTCTTGGTCTGCAACACAGCCAAGCAATTTCTGACTGAAATGTCACGAGCACCTGCACCGAAGCTACAGCCAACTAAGGATTTAGCACCATCATTTTCTTTTTTCATGCTGCTTCATCATCATGATATGAATTTGCCCCATATATGCTATTTTTTTCCTTTAAGTTTTGGTTTCCTTGATTTTCCTTTAAAAAAAATCTATGTTCCGTTAAGCCGTGCAGATCGCCGGTTCCCAGGTCGAGTTGGCCGGGTCTTTCTATGGCCTGCAGGGCGTTCGCGACGAAAGTAGAGTCGCCAGTTCTTGAGCACCAGGAGAAAGGTGCGCACAATAAGGGCACGATGACATGGTGGGGCCGCACCCGGAGCGGCGATGGTTGTCGTGGAGAGCTGGGAGGCATCGGAGGGGGAGGAAGGTTGGAGAAGCTATGAGGTAGGGCTTGAATTGGAGAATGTGTTTGTCGTCGGAGAAGGGGGCGATAACAATGAGGTTATGTTTTAAAAAAATATATATATTTAATTGATTATTTTATAAAGGAAAAACTATGTGACTTTTGTGGACATATGTCGTCGTTTGATTGGAACGAACAGCACCTGTCAATGTTAAGGTGCGGTTCCTGAAAAATTCCTCGACAACTAAACATCTTCACCGGCTGTCGCGAAAGAAAATATCTCTTACAATTTGATAAAAGCGAAAAATAATGCAACATAAATATTTTTTTATTAGAGGAAGAACACAACAACAATTACACCATAAAGTTTCTGCACGTACTAATTAAAAGCTTTTAGGAACCAAGAAAGAAGGCAACTAGTCCCATGCTCAGATAGAACCAATTCTCTTTCAGGTACGACTTCCTCCGGGTTTCTCCGCATCTGTGCTGCAATTCTCTTTGAGTGGAGGTCCACAAAGTTTAGTGCCAATGAAACTAGACGCATCAAAGGTCTGAAATTGACCGCTTTGTGGAATAGGCCCTGTCAAATTGTTGTAGGACACGTTAAAGTATGCAAGAAATGTCAAAGTCGACACGCTCAGAGGAATTCCACCGGAAAGTTGGTTCTTGGACATATCAAGAACTTCTAACCATTCCATTTCACCCATCTTTGATGGGATTCTTCCAGTCAAAAGATTGTTCGATAAATTCAACGATTCTAAGTTGACAAGGCTGGTCAGTTCCTCGGGTATCTCACCAGATATATTGTTGTGTGAAAGATCCAACCTAGTTACCAATCTAAGAACACTGCTATGTCTCACTTCCCTCCCTTTACTCACCAAGATGGCATTATCCTTGTACTTGCCATCAAAACCATGAATGTATCTGAAGAATGAAAATGAACTGCTCCATTCTAACGCGTTGTTCGTGGCGTTAAAATTAGAGAAACATGTTGGTATTGTTCCAACGAGATCATTGTGTGCAAGGTCCAAGTTTTGAAGCTTTACGAGACCGCAAAGTTCACGAGGAATGTCGCCGTGAAGCTTATTTGAACGAAGGCTAAAAACCATCAATTGTGAAAGGCTTTTCCCTATCCCCGTCGGTATGCTTCCAACAAAATCATTTTCTCCAAGGTCAACTAGTACTAAGTTCCTGCAGTTCTGTAGGGACAACGGCACTTCTCCAGAGAGGTGATTATTGCGTAAATGCAGTGATTGAAGCAAAATTAAGTCTCCGATGGTGCTTGGAATGTTCCCCGTCAAATGGTTGTTATCTAAATTGATGACGATCAAGTTTTTCCAATTCATCCAACATTCAGGAATTTCTCCTGTAAGATGATTGTTGCGAAGATAAAGGCTTGTCATTTGCTTTGATTCATCCATCCTGTCACAAAAGAAGTGAAAGATGGACCCCGAAAAAGATGAATTGGAAAGATCGAGCACAGCTACTGTAGCAGAGACAAGAGGTAAGGAACCGGTGAACTTGTTGGAACTTAAGTCGATTACAGCTGAAGGAGCAGCAACTATTCTTGGAACCTGACCATACAATTGATTGCCAGAGAGATCCACGAAACTTAATCCCAGATAAGAAAAGTTCCAAAACCATATCGGAATGGTACCAGAAATTCCTGTATTTGATATGCTTAGCTGTTCCAAGTACTTTTGACTCTGAAGCCAACTAGGCAACTCTGGCCCCAGATTCCAAGAATCTAAGAACAACACATGAAGTTGAAAGGGAGGAAGCCACTCTCTACAGGTTTTGAGAGTCAATGAATTTTCACTTGCAAAAAGCTCCTGCAATCTTGAAAGATTAGTAAAATGAACTTCAGTGACATCACCCTTCATTGGATTATTAGAAATGTCTAATATTTTCAAGAGTGACAGATTTTGTATCGACTTTGGAATGGGACCAGATATTGAATTACTGGAAAGATTAAGGTAGCTTAGATTTTGAAAATTTCCGAGCTCATCTGTTAAATGACCGGAAAGATCATTATACGATAAGCTGATGGACTCTAGTTGACTTGAAGTACACCGAGATAGACTTTTGAAGATTTCTGATGCCCTTCCACTAACATGGTTCCACGACAGATCAAGAAACATCAACTTACAGAGATTTTCAAATGAATTTGGGATTTCCCCCCCAAGTTGATTATGACTCAAGTCAAGATTGACGATGGCTGTCAAATTTCCAATGGAAGTTGGAATTTCACCATACAAGTGATTGTCTGAGAGAAAAAGGGATTCGAGATGGCTCAGGCTGTACAGCCATTTAGGTATGGTTGCCTTGATAGAGTTCCTTGAAAGGTTTAGAACTCTAAGAGAAGCCATGTTCGCAATGCCACCTGGTATGTGATGAAGTCGACAATCAGACATATCCAAGTACTCAAGCAAAGAATTAGAGGCCATGCTTGTCTCCTGGATCGAATCAGATGCTTTGCTAAGATTAACACCACTCAGGTCCAGGTGTTGCAACATAGAAAGACCAGATATCCACTGGAGGTTATTAACCTCAAAGTAGTTACCATGGAGATCGAGATAGCGTAGACTAGAGAGGTTCCCCAGCTGATGAGGAATTATTCCCTGAAAATTTGCTTGTGAGAGGTCAAGGTGTCTTAAACTTGTAAGAGAACCAAAGAAGTTGGGAATTAGTATTCCGTCAAAATCGTTGTTGCTTAGGTCCAAATAATTGAGACTGCTTAAATTGAGCAGAGAAGGATTTAGCTTACCACCCAAATAGTAGTTGCCAAGGTGGAGCTCGCGGACATGGCCGGTTAAGTTACTGCAGACAACACCAAGCCAAGTGCAACAGTCTCCTTCTCCATGACCAACCCAGGATGAAAGCCGATTCGAAGAATCATGAAGCTCTTGCTTGAACATCAACAGGGCTCGTCTCTCGTTGTCCTTGCAAGGCACCCCCATATTTCCATTGCACGAGCTAATGGCAAGTAGGGTTGCAATAATGCTTAGAAATCTGACAAGTATAACAGAAGTTGATCTCATGGCTTGTAAAGTTGAGATACACAACACATGTGATGCTATGAAAGAAGCAATACTTTCATCTTCTAATTTAATACTTCTTCTTTTGGGATTTTTCTTTGAAAACAGCTTTCTAGAGAACCATTGACCTTAAAGACCATTCAGCAACTTCTAAGTAATTACCCAAGTCATTCATTAATCTAACTTTTAGGAAAAAACAAATTGTTCCTGAAAATTAGTGGAAAAAATGAAACACATTCAACATAGAACTGTTCAAAGTCATCAGAATATGTGTCCCACCCCAAATTAGTGGAAAAAGACCAAATATTTCCCAGAAAAAAATATGTCAGCTGATTTAAATAATGATGCAAAACGAAATGTGGGTTTACTTGCGAGGATAAGATTGGAACAGAAAAAGACATTACATCTTTTACGTACGTTGAACGAAGATAAGAAAAATTGTGACCATGTCAGAGGTAGAAGGGAATACTTTGAAGCAAACTTATCCCTCTAAGTTCACCAAATGAATGGTAGGATTAGAAAGAACAAGTCACCTTCATGTGTAAACGTTTGTCTTTGAGTTTTATTGATAAAACTCTAACCTTCACACATAGCGCCATATATACGGCACCAATAACGTACTACATGCTTAGATTCTTACATTGTTCCCCGCCAAAAACAGAATCCATTGCATCGCATGACAATGTTTATATGTGGACTCACTTTGAGCCGAGGCACACCTCATATTCCTTAAGGCAAGAACAATCACCGTTGGAGGATAAGACTCGATTAGGGCTATACTAACTTAGCACTTGAGACTGGAAGATATCCGATTGAAAATGATGCAGATTTGATTAGGGTTTTTCGAAGTTAGTCTCCTACGTTTGACCTATCTATTAGCTTATAGCAAGGCCAAAATTATTCATAGCTGAACGGCAAAGCAAAAGTTGAACCAACCAAACTAATTACGATATATTGTCCGAAAAAGAAAAAATCAAACTAAACATTAGTACAAGTTCGATAACCAAGAATTCGATCCACTCATCCACAAAATTACGTCCTTCATTAGGTCTTCTGTGATTTTGAGATTGAAATCCATGCACTTGGAAGCACTGGACATTTCACAGACGGGGAAGACTTTGATTGAATAGCGGAATTGCTAGCAGTTGTACTAGTAGTAGAAGTGTTCATCGGATTCATCGACTGCATGACTGAAGTCGTAGGAGGAGTAGTAGTAGTGTTCACCGGATTCTTATTAAAACCACCCCATTGGGCCAATTCATGAGTAACTTTTTTGCCTAATGCGTCATGAATAAATGTGTTTACAGAGTCTTGAGAGGGGGGCTTCTGCACATCAAAATTCGCAGGCTATTTTGCTTGAGCTTGAGTGAGTTCGTTAGAAATTTTGATTTAGTTTTGCAGAATATCTTTCCATGGAATGAATCTCCAGTGTCGAGGCCCGTATCTTGGCTTCGAGTGAAGCAATGAGTTTAATGAGAAGGGCAATCTGAGAATTTTAGAAATAAGTGGGGTACAATGAGAAGGAAAAATTCTATCCAGACTTCCCCGGCAACCAGGAATTCAATTCCGACCTAAATGTAGGGATTTCAATTCTTCCAAATTTTGAAGTTGGATTCCATAACTTGCGTGAGTCCCTCCAAATTTTTGATTCCCCAATATTTGGTGGACACTGAAGTATTCCATGATTGAATTCGATTCCGATTACCTTTACATAAAAGTGCCATAAGAGGAGGGGAAGGTTTGTGGCCTACTTTTTATCCTACAGTCGAAACCATCGTCAAATTTTCCGTCCAATATGCTGACATGACATACGAGAACTGTGCAGAAAAATAACTAAAATTTTGAACAGGTGCTAAATGTTCATCCAAATCCAATCAATTCTATCAACACCGACAAACAAAATCAAAGAAACCAAGGATTTCATTTGAAACATTTTACAAGTACACATTTTTTTGCTACCATAACATGCATTACAACTAGTGCACATCCAATCAGCCCATTTTTTGTACTATGTCGAAATCTGCGACGGGCAAAAAATGGAACATACAACATCTTATGAATCAATGGTTACTTAAAAGACATACAAATAACGACTGAAATACCGAACCTGCTTTGAGTTACCACCTCCGGTAAGTCAACTGCCCCAGGTAGAATTTACTTTGGGAATTGGCAACCAGGTGCACCGACGTTAACTTAACAGACAAGTGCAATAAACAGAAATTAAATTGCACAACGTGAGGAGAGAGAGAGAGAGAGAGAGAGAGAGAGAAGGCGCTGGGAGTGGAATAGCTCGGCCTTATCCCGCACCAGGGAAGCAAGAAACTTGGTCAGGCATGGCAATTGGCAACATCGATCAGTGGAAGAAAAGTGGAGGCAAAACACAACTTTTGGCTACATCGCATATCTAAATGCGAAGTGCACCTGTTACAGGGTCACGACCTGCATTCGCATCCTTGTGTTTCAAAGACAGGTTTGCAAATTGGGAATCAAGGTCTCTGCTGTTAGAGCGTCTATGGCTAGAAGAAGGCCGCTGCTGTTGCTGTTGATGTTGCTGCTGTTGTTGCTGATACAAGACTCGTAGCCTCCCAATCTCCCTCTCCAACAATTCTTGTTCCACTGGAAATGGAAACACACATCTTAGTCACCTTATAAAATAATGAATACCAAAATGGGGTAAAGAAAGTTCTGCTTTTGCCATGACAGATAAGTGAAAACCGCTTCCAAATACGTGGGTGTTCTAAATCTTCCACGCATCTTTCAGCATGGTTTAAATTATGTTTATTGTTACTTTCAATAATTTAGGAAGAGCCAAAGCATCCAAATGCAAACCCGTGAAACATTAACATCTACCAAATTCTAAACAAAAACAATGCAAACCTGCATAAAAGAACCCTCAGGTGAGAATTTTTGCATTTAAGAAATAATGACCGGAAACATCCATTTGGCAGTTCTTTAAGAATCATCTACACAAAAAACAGATAAACCCCAGAAATTGCTAACAAATTGATTACCGTTGTGATCATTTCAGTTTTATGTGATGGACTGCGTTTGTCTGCACAGTTTAGATGACTAAACAGTATTATCTGTCTAATCTTTTGCAGGGAACACCCTTGACGGATCTAAAACAAATATAGTTCCCATCGTCGAACTACATTATGAGGTAGCCCTGGAGAGGGCGTTCACATTCATTTTAAATGCAAATGTTCTGACTTAAATTCCCCTACATGTGTATCGGTGATCAGATAAAACTTCACTTTCAAGACTGCTAAACATAGTATTACATCACTATAGCAAAAATCCAGGTATTCAGGTGATAAAAGATTGACGGTAGGTAAACATCTATCATCCAAAGCCAAGGCTTTTACAAAATCCACATGGACCCCACCCTCAAATTGTTAAATATTATGCTGAAGACTAACATTTCCTATGTGTTATCGAATTTTCTCCAGATCTTCACAGCATAGTTTCTCATAGTTCTTCAATTGAGTTCCAATCATCCTCAGACTGCCATAGGTATGAGGTGTATCAAGTACTTTGAGAAAGGCTTCAGGCTTAAAACTTTTTCAGCTAATACATAGTTCTGATTTTACTCAAAACATATTCTCCAAATTCAGGTAACAGATGAAGCCGAAAATGCATAGATTATGAAAATTTGAATGTTCAAGGTAGAAGCTTACAGTATTTGATACGCTGCTCCTGTCCTATACTTTCTAAGCGCTGCTTGAGGGCTTTGTTCTCCATGCTCAGAATCATATTCTGCTGGTTGAGAAACTCAAGCTCAGCCGAAACTTCAGTCCCTTCTGCCTGTGGAGTAAAACATGCAGGAACAATATTGTCAATGATAAATTATCATAAAACACCTCAGTATAAAACCCAATTCAAACTTAAATACAGTACTTCCAGCTTTTGCTGACACTTGCCTGTAAAGCTTGTACATTCCTCTCCAGCTCTGCTATGTACTGAAGTTTCCGAACCCGTGAACGTTGAGCAAATTGCCTACAAATACAATAACTAGTATTTAGTCTCCATAAAATATTTATTAAATATTCCAATTCAAGAAGACACCAGTCAAGTTTCTAGACTTATGACCATTAGTGCTGTTACAAGGAAATTATTATATTAAAGCCAACATCTGCATCAGCCACAAAGCGAGTTGATAATTATTTTGAGAAATAAATGATTATATTAAACCCGAGACAGGGCAAAAAAACAAAGGAGTGGTCAAAAAAGACACACAAAACAACCAGACCCACACAAAAAAGAAAAAAAAAAAACAGCAGCAAGACTGAAAACTGAAAATCCAAACAACACCCTAGAGCAAAATAAATAAGTAGCTGCCTTCCAATCAAGCCAAATTAGGGATAAGGGAATATTTCTGAACTACAAGGAAACAAAAGCCCAAAGCGCTGACCGAAAACAAATTCTGTCTCATAGCTCCTCAAAGCACAATCCATCTTAAGCTTAAAAATTTCCATGTCCCTCTCCATCCAAACCAACCATATCACCGCCAAGACCAGGCAACCCCACATTACCTTGGCCTTCTTGCCCATGCACGCCCAAGAATGATATCCGCTAAGAAGAGATAAACAGTCCCAACGAACTACCCGGATAAGCAGTCACTAAGAAGAGCCAGTTGATAACTATGAGTCTACAGTATTCACATCTTAGTTTGTAAAACAATTAGGAAAACTTCTTGCATTAAAACTTTATCGAGGTTTACGAAAATTCTTTCACTCCAGTCCAGTTGAAAAGAAATCTGTGGAAATTCTGATACAAAGAAATCTGTGGAAATTTAACTTAAAATTTATAGAGAGAGCCCATAAGTGAATTACTCTCAAGATTTGAACAAGCCAGCATTCAAATTCTTAAAAGCAAAGGGACAGTCCTAGTCCAGTCCAACTGTCTTCCTCCACTTCTCCAGAAAACTAAACTATATAAATTATAACTGTTAAATTAGCATATATACTCCTCCATTAGCTACCAAACAGATGATAGGTAGTATTCCACATTAAGCTTCTTATGCTGTACTGTCTTCCCAAATCAGAAAAGTATATAAAGCTACGTCTCATACGTAGTTGCGACTAATTTACAATGTTATATAGCTGCTCAGCTTAATACTCAGGGCCACATACTGGTCAACAACTCAACGTCAAAATCAGGTGATCTAA